TCTTGTCAAAACTCAAGGCCAAAGACAAATGTTAGTTTGTGCATGTCTTTCTTTTCTCTCCACTTGCTTTGTTTGTATGCATATTTCCCATACAAATATTACTGTCACTTACGTTTGATGTAGTTCTTGGGTTCCTTTTCCATTGTATTCCACACGATATTGTTCTGTCGGCAAGCAAGTAATCAAATTTGTGTAGGTTATGTCAGTGTGTGTTCACTGTCAAGAATCAACTTCTGCCCAATTCCCTAGAACCCCTGCCTGACAGCTCTGAGGAAAGCTAAGGTGGTGCCTGCCATCTATTACTATAGGCAGCGAGCAATGGCAAAATCACAACTCATTCTTTTCTAGTCTTTCTTTGGTTATCTTTTCCAGGAAGAGTATGAGCGGGAATGTATTTGATAAATGTGCTCAAACCCCAGTGGCAAATAAATGAAAATCATACTGGGGTAGACGAACAGACTCGATTATGTGGGTGACTCAGATGGAGCTCTGTTTGTGAATGTGTAGAGTCCGGTCTGTTGTTCTCCATGAGGAGATTCTAGAAGAAAGGAGAGATGCACATGGGTCAGAAGAAAAGATTTCCTCTGCCAAACCTGGGTCTCAATAAACTTCACAGATTGGTCAAGTGATATTTTCTGAAAATGAAAAGTTGAGTAGTGTCCTCAGAAAACCAAAGAGTGCTGACTGAAACTTATTACCACTGAACATTGTTCACAGAGTGCGCCAATCGAGAACCCTGATCTAGATGTGGATAGTGGGCATACAGGGCCACAACCAAAGATGGAAAATCAAGTGGAGGCACTCCACAGATACAAATCGGAGGAAGGTACGTCATAGTCCATTGCAAAACTATCATTCATACAAGATGTTAATGGATGATAAACATGGGCATGTGGAAGCAGCAAAACAATTTGCAGAATACACATGGGTGGGGCTAGAGGAGCATAAAAGTAGGAATATAAAAAAGGCTGAAAGGACACGACATGTGTTCAAGGGGGAGCTCGAAATGGAATCGTCTCCTGGGGTAGCACAAGAGAAAATAGTAAAATTCCTCTGCTATGGGGTATGGAGAAGGCACATACTCCACAAGGGCATCCTTGTCTGCAATGTGCCCAAAGGCCAGACTCTTGACAAGGAGAAGGATAGGAAGGCGTTAAATGTCAGAAACGAGACAATCACAAATAAGAAATATAGAGGCTATCCTGAGAACACTTTGGATGAAGTCATTAATGAGTGACATCTTCAAAACTTGCTGTGCTTTGACAGATGATAGGGCAGGCAAAAGAATGAATGTGCCTCTGCAGCTTACTTCAAATGTATTACCGGGAGCATTGGTGGAGTCACAGCTTTGTAGGGAAAGCTCCCATGGTTTTGACTGTCCTCTACTGGCAACATCACGTGCCTGTGTGGGAACAGTGTTGGTATTTCTATGTTTGCATGATATTTTGAGGATTCAAATGGACAGCTGCTTCATATGTTGGATTGAAGCTGCCATTTGCAAAGTTGATTCTAGTGACATCTAAGGTTTTGCAATTATTGTCACCTTCTGTTAGAGTATTCTGTTGTCTAAATGTTGTTTGTTTTTGTTTTGTTTTGTTTTGTTTTGTTTTTTCACACTAGGGGCCAAGCCATCCGTCCCTGATCCAGAAGAGGTATGCCGCCAGACAACTGATCTTGACCTCAAGCCACTTTTCAATGCATACCAAAGGGGCAAAGCAGGGTTTTGTAAACTCTTAAGCTCACTTTCATCACTTAGTAGTATTGGCTTTGGTGATATTACCACCTGGAAAGAAGGAGTATTTCTAAACGAACTTATACAGTTCAGGAGACAAAACTTTGATCAACCAACGCAAACATTTCATCTCTTTTTACATCTTAGCTCCCTCAGAATCTATCTAGTCCTATCATTTCCTATTATTATCCTTTGGTGCTTACTGACCAATTTTCCCTTGCACAGATGTCTTCAGGGTAAGTTACTGCCAAATACAGGGCATGAAAGGGATAAATAAATTTGGGGAAATATCAGCGTCCTGAGGCATCCCCTGTTCTAATGGGAATGTTTTCCTTCCATGCTAGAGACTTAGTCCTCTGTCATACAATCCTGTTGGCCGATGGGTTGTTGATCTCATAGCTTGTCTCTCTATGGAGCAGTCCTATCCTTATCTCCTCAGAAGCTGTCTAGTGTCCTGTGGCCCCATGTGTCAACTGGGTTTCATGCATCTATTCCTCTGGGTCTCACTGTGTGAGTGACCCACCAGTGACTCTCTGTACCGAGAGTCCTTTCTTCTGTCAAAGAGTTGAGTTGAGTTGAGTTGGGATGGGTTTAGGTTCGCTTCTTCTCTTCAGAGCCCAGATGTGTTTGGAGTCCAGATTCTTAAGAGGGAAGAACAGATCTCCTTGCATTCTTGGAAAAGGGTCTGTCCTGACCAGTTTGGCTGAGGTTGCTGTCCTTTCTCCACTGGGAATTGTTGGAAGCCTTTTCAAAAAAATCAAGTGGCTGTGGGATTCTGGATGGCCTGTGAGATCCAAGTTCTCCTCAGCCTGAGGATCCATTTTTCTAGGACTGGCACCAGAAGCTGTGGTTATTGATTGCTTTGTAAAGGCCACTCGAGTTCTGCCACAGAGAAAGATACAGCCCGTTTTGTTTTTCTTTGCTTCCTTGCTTGATTTCTTTCCTTTCCCCTTTGGTTTGACTAATCTTGTCACCGGACGAGCCCACAGAGATCTCCAGATGAGGGATGGAATTTCTGTGAAAATTGCATGGGAGACCAGAGGAGCAAGGCAGTGAATCCTTTCTTTGCTTTTGGGAGGGTGGGCCACTTAAAGCTCTGGACCTTGCCAAGTTTCCATCCCAGGATAATGTCTCCAAGTCTGCTTTCAGATTGAAAGGAATCAGCTTTCCATTTGCTGGCTCTTGTTTCATGGATTTCAAAGTTTTCTTATCACTTGAAGCCATTTGAATGAAATGGCTTCCACCATGTATATGTGTCTTCTATGTTTGTATGATTGCCCCTTGTCTAGAGACAGACTACTTGTATGCGTGCACACGTTTGTTTGCGTCCCGTGGCTTTGCTAAGCGTGTTTACTTCTCTGTGCTGTCTACATCGGCATGCCTCGGGGCCTTTCCTGGAAGGAATGTTTTCCTTTGGTAATAAAATTGGTTTCACCCCTAATTCCCAGGTTTGGTGTCCCTTTCCTTGCCCTGACTGGACCCATTGCTCTGTTTTGACTTCAAGCATTTTCCTGAAGAGGAGGGGTGACACTGGTTGGGGGTTCTTTTTCCTGCTTTATTCCACGTAACTTCATGGGTTTGCTGTGCAGGAATCATTTGCCTCTGACCCTGGGATCGGGCCTCATTGCCTCCATTATGGTAAAGGGTTGCTCTGCCTAGGGATGGATCCCTGGGGCATCCTGTCAGCAAGGGTTGTTGGATCTTGGCAAGGGTCTACTCCACATCTACTGGCAGGATATAAGCGTGCCTGTGTTTGACTCTGCCTATAGAAGGGAGGTCGTGAAAGTAGGAAAGCCTGCATTGGATTGTGTAGACAGGTGACTCATGACATGAAAACAATTGCATTGTCATAACTATGGACATCCAGGCCAGGCCAATGTGAACGCCTCCTGTATTTTGTCATCACCAGTGTCAGATTTCTAGGTTTTCATGCAACATGAAGTTCTGGTCATGTCTTTAGGAGAAGTGCCTCGGAGATGAGACTGGTAGCTTTGTTTGGAAGGACCAAACCCAAATCTTCCAATGTTGGCTCAGGTGGGTGAGGACCATGGAAGTTGCAACTTCGGACCCCCCTAATCCCTCTCCCTATCCCTGAGTCATATTTGTTCTAACAGCTGACATTCCACACAGATACAAGATACTGTCAGTTCCAAAACTGTGTCATTTACCCAGACACACAATAGAGGAAATAATGCTCCCCACTCTGAGGGATGGAATGTGTATGCATTTGGATGCCCAAAAGCCTCCCGTGTGCTAAGAAGCTGCACAGGGCGCGCAATTCCAAGCGAAGGTCTAAAGATCAGTGATAGGTCAGGGAGCAGCACAAAACGCCAGATCTGAGAGAGAAACACAGCACATCCATCCATTGTGTAAATGGAAGGAAAACTGCCCTTGAGTCAGAGTGGGATTGAGCATGGAAATGGCTGGTGAAAGTGCTTTCTGAGATTGGGGACTGTGAGCTGAGCCAGCCATGACTGGAGTGTGTGAGCCCTCCCTGAGTGTCAACCAGAGAAGCACGATTGGACAAAGGGGCAGGCTTGTCTGGTTTTCCTGTCTTTCTTTACGAATGCAGAATTTCAGAAAGCTAGTTTGGAATGTACATCACTTCTGTACCTCCGTTATTCTTGTCAAAACTCAAGGCCAAAGACAAATGTTAGTTTGTGCATGTCTTTCTTTTCTCTCCACTTGCTTTGTTTGTATGCATATTTCCCATACAAATATTACTGTCACTTACGTTTGATGTAGTTCTTGGGTTCCTTTTCCATTGCATTCTGTAACATATTGTTCCTTCTGCAAGCAAGGAATCAAATTTGTGTAGGTTGTGGCAGTCTGTGTTCACTGTCAAGAATCAACTTCTGCCCCATTGCCTGGACCCCTGCCTGACACGCTGTGAGGAAAGCTAAGGTGGTACCCGCCTTCTCTTACCTTCGGCTGTGAGCAATACCAAAATCACAACTCATCCTTTTCTAGTCTTTCTTTGGTAAACATTGCCAGGAGGAGAATTAGAGGGAAAGTATTTGATAAATGTGCTCAA